AACTCAAACTAAGGAACTAAAAAGGGTTTTAATTTTTTTTTTCAAAAGTAACCAAGGAAGGATGCGATGTGTACGATTAGCCTGGGAAAGAAAGTATACCCCAAATTACCACACTGTTATTTGTTATGATATGATAGTACTGCAAGATAGTGATAGACTAGGGATCTTCAAGGATTGCGTGATCATATTTCCTGATGTATGATGCCTGATAGCATAGGAGAACTTTTTGTATGAAATTGACATCATTATTGTAGTTTCTTAGTGTATGCATCATAGTTGTACATAACCAAGATTTTATAGCTTGAGAATGTTTGGTTTAGCTTTATTTTCTATTCCTTGTTTGGTTGTGGTCTTAGGGTAGAATCAAGTATTCGAATGTCTATATGATCAAGTGTTATATATGATTAGCATGCATGAGTGGTTGCAGGGTTAGTGGAAGTTTCATGGATGAGTACATGTGTGAGCAACCAGCCAAATGAGGAATGTTTAGCCACTCTCGATAGAGTGAGAATAGGATGTATGTGTATCCTGGTTGTTGTAATTGTTTTGGCCGTTTGTGATGATCCTTTGAGACAAATACGGGTAGGTGTGGAAGGTAGTATGGGTTGATACTATTGGAAGAACAAGAATCGTACGCATAGCAAATAAGTCACAAACCCCGAGGATTTCGTATGTATCCTGCTCTGATACCAAATATAGTGTGTTTGAATTGAGTATTAAGAACAAAATCAAAAACAGAAAGAGTATAGAACACAATCGCAAATAAGTTCTATTAGGCTCGTTGATTTCGTCTGAATGAGTATAAAAGTACATGAGAAAGAAAAGAACGAAGTGCTCAAACGCTACTCTTGACTCTTATACTAACCCTATTTATAGGGTGATACAGACGTACAAAACATATGTAAGGACTAGACTTTACGCTTTGACATCTAACATTGCCTTACATAATACATACATATCGAAGTCCTTGACTTCGACACTATGTAGACCATATTAGACTTTGACACCTCACTAGACAATTCGACCCTTACAGTTTTTAAAACAATAATTAAGGAAACTAGAAAACCCTAAGGAACCCTATCCATTTTCGAAATTTAAGGGGAGAAGTCTAGGGTTTCAAAAACATTAACCATTTTCGAAAAAAAAAATCCTTTAGGTTATTATTAGGATAAATAATGTTGTGTCAACTGTTTTGTACTAGAATATTATATTTTGTAACGGGCTGGGCCTGTCCACCCGAGATTTAATGATATTAGGGTTAGACTATTTATAGTGCATGCATGCACCATTTAAAGAAAAAACGAATTGTGTTGCCCTACATAGTCTTTACAGAGAAGTTCTTGTTTAACTCTTCTAAGGCTATTGAATCTAATCATTCGACACTTTGCTTAGAAAGAAACCAACAGTGCAACCTAAAGAAGCTCCGAATGATATCAGTAAGATGAAACTGGGAAAATCCGAAAAGATAATTGGAGTGTGGCATTTCAACTGCGAAAAGGCGAAAAATTTCAGAGGTGTTTGTTCTTCTTATCAGACAAGCATCTTTATTCTTCATCCTGTCTAAACGACATTTAGGAATTACTGAACAATACAAATCAAATGATGTTGTGGATAAAAGTGCTTCACATATATGATCAAGTGGTATATCTTGGTTCACAACAATTTGCTTGGATTAATGCCGAAGCTGTTCAAAGTTCAGAAACGTCAGCATCACTGAAGAATCTACCTTGCTTAATTGACACAAAGGGGAGATTTTTGGGATAAATAATGTTGTGTCAATTGTTTTGTACCAGAATAGTCTATTTTGTAACGGGCTGGGACTGTCCACCCGAGATTTAATGATATTAGGGTTAGACTATTTATAGTGCATGCATGCACCGTTTTAGAAAAAAAAAACACGAATTGTGTTTCCCTACGTAATCTTTACAGATGTTCTTGTTGAACTCTTCTAAGGCTATTGAATCTAATCATTCAACACCATTTTGATCTTCATTGTTCTTACTATTTTGTGGATTACACCTGTTAGAATCTATCGATCTATACTTTATTGTTACACCAAGCTCTCACCGAATCCAATGGTTGCATTGGATGGATATGCTTCGAGTAACTCCTCTCCTTTACCGATTTCTTTGACAACCATTGTTTAACAAGTTAGGCTAGTTAACTTTTTGTTCGTTGTTGCACACAACAGATGGAACCAATGATGTGACATCGTCCCTTGATCAGGTCTTCAACTTAGAAGTCAGAATGGAACCTACAGTTACACTCACAAACAAAGAATGCTAGTTACTTCCCAAGAGGAGGTCCTGGGAGCGCGCTCCGACGAACAAGTCAATGGTGGTCGAAAAAGGTTGTTTTGAGAGAATAATTAGATTATTCATGAAGCGATCCACATACTTGATTTGTTCATACCCTTTTATAGTTTGCGTTTCTATGTACCTGATAATGATGACCACCTCAATACAAAGACCACTTGAACATTCATTATTAGGCTACAAAGGCACCAAGTGGTCCAACTGTAATCCAGAGGATCTTTTCGGGCCGTGATTGGTGTAAAGGTAATCTTCGTTAGTGGCATGGACATTCCTTTGTACAGACATCCCTTACATGTGTTCCTAACTGTTTGTCTTACATTCCACATGTGTTTGTGATAGGCAAGTGCTTTATGGGGATGCCATCTTGCCAGTCAGTCAAGTCAGGACCTGACGAGCCCCTTTGTGCCTCGCACGAGGCCGTTCTGTCCCTTACGTCTCGTCACGACTTATCGGGATGGATACATCATTATATATATATATATATATATATATATATATATATATATATATATATATATATATATATATATATATATATATGTTTAGGTTCTATGCAAAATACAAAACCCTAAAAATTATAAAAATACATAAAAAAATACGTAGAGATTACAAATTTTTTTTTTTTTGACTTTATATATACAAAATTCGCAACTTTTTTTTTACGAAATTCACTGAAATTTTTTTTCAAAAAAGCCCAAAAAAATCGATTTTTTAATTTTTTTTTCCAGTGAAATTATTAAAAAATCTGCGCTTTTTTTATATATAAAGTAAAAAAAAAGATTTGTGATCTCTACGTATTATATATAATATATATATATATATATATATATATATATATATATATATATATATATATATATAGGTTCAGGTTCATTTGAGACCATTCTAATTTTGTGAAACCGTCAGACCAAATCTAAAAATAATTTTAAAATGCAAAATAAATGGAAAAATCCAAAAATTCTTTTTTTAAATATTATTTTCGGAACTTGATTTAACTAAAAAAAATAAAAAAAAATAAAAAAAATAAAACAAAATCCTTTTTTTTTTTTAAATGTGTGAAATATTCTAAATAAAATATTACACTGACATATTGTAAAAAATAATTTTAAAATGCAAAATAAATGGAAAAATCTAAAAAAAAGAATTTTAAATATTATTTTCGGAACTTGAATTAAATAAAAAAAATCCTATTTTTTTTGAAAAATACGTAAAATATTCTAAATAAAATATTACATTGTACATATTCTAAAAATAATTTTAAAATGCAAAATAAATGGAAAAATCAAAAAATAATTTTTTTAAATATTATTTTCGGAACTTGAATTAACTAAAAAAAATTAAAAAAAAAATAATAATAAAAAAATGCGTCTTACGGTCTTACAAAATTAGGCCGTCTCACATTAACCTAACCCTATATATATATATATATATATATATATATATATATATATATATATATATATATATATATATATATATATATATATATATATATATATGGAACTGATTCGTACACAACACTTTTTTTTCATACACAACAATTTGTGCTTTAAAGTGTTGTATTGTACAACTCTATAATGCATAAATTGTTGTGTACGGCAAAAAACTGTTGTGTACGAATCACTTCTTATATATATATATATATATATATATATATATATATATATATATATATATATATATATATATATATATATATAATATATATATATATATATATATATATATATAGCATGTGAACGACAATCAAAGCAAGAATCCCGCCAGAAATTCTTGCTTCTTCAACGTGTAATAACTCTGGATAACCCTGACTATCACCCGCTGCGCTTCTTCTCAAATCTTCTTTTAGCTATTCATATTTAAATAATTAAACCAGAATCACAGCGAAACAGGCTATAATATGTTTGACTCTTGGTCCTATTGTTTTTCATAATCCGGTGATTGGTTTACTCTTGTTTGGTTTAAAATATTATATATATTTTCAAATTTTAAGCCACAACCATTTATATTTATAGTCTCCTAATTAGAAACCCGAAGTTTGCATTGCTTCATCGTGTTCAATGTAACTATTATTAACTAAGAAGATTTAAATGACGGTATTATAAATTTTTTAACGATTACGTTTACATAAATGAAATGGGTAAAAAGTATTCCGTTAAAGTAGTAATCGAGTTGCATACGATCTAGTGTCTTGAGGCTTTTTACGTTTGTTATGAATCAGTTTTTATAAATTTCAATAAATCAGTTTGAATTAAAATATAATAAATGACTGAACACCATTACTTAAGATCCCTTTATTACGGTTCAAAGTTATCCATTAATCCATGATGATTTTCAAATTTCGACGACCAAATGAAAATTTTCATAACAAAGTTGATTATTTTATTTTAATTCGATAATAAAAGTATTATATTCTGATCTTTACCCATTCATCCCTACAAAAACTGCATATGCTAATTTTAACCTATATATTTTATATCTATCTTCTTTGGACCCACTAACCTCTGTTTTTTATGAAAAAAAATTCTGAAGTAAATTCTGCAAGAGGTTACCTCTTCCCCCGGCGCCGCTGTTTCTTGTGTATAAATACCACCACCTCCACCACCATTTCCACCGTGCCCTTCGCTTCCCTCTCATTACTTTTCTCTTTCACATACAACACCAAAAAAACTCACTGAAACCAAAATGGGTTTCAGGGTTTTGCTCTCGGTCGTAGTTCTTAGCTCTTGTTTGATGATCAATGGTTTAGATCTTGATCATGTGAGCTGGACACAAGCTCCACACCACTCGCCGTCGTACCCCCCTACCGTAGCTCCTGCACCCCACCAACATCATCCCAAGCGTCCCGGTGGCCACCACCACAAACCTGCTGTTCCACCTACGGCTCACACACCAACTGTAGCTCCAGTTCACCCACCAAGTGTCGCTCCGGTGCACCCACCCAGAGTGGCTCCTGTTCACCCACCGACCAAGGCGCCTGTGTATCCTCCGACCAAGGCCCCTGTACATCCTCCGACGAAAGCGCCAGTGCATCCTCCGACCAAGGCACCTGTGCATCCACCAACCAAGGCCCCTGTGCATCCTCCGACCAAGGCGCCTATTCATCCACCAAGTCACTCACCGGCTCCGTCACACGCACCTCTTCCGACACGGAGGCAGGTGGCGGTCCGTGGGTATGGTTTACTGCAAAGCTTGCAAATACAAGGGTATTGACACGCTCGTTGGCGCTACTCCTCTACAGGGTATAAATTCTCACTCTTTTTTAACCAATATATTTGAATTTCTATATGTATTTTTACGTTGGATTTAGTAAATGCATTATATATAACTCTTCACAATCTTGTTCTTCTATCCAAGTACGCAACTTATTAATGCACGAAACATGAATTACAGGGGCTGTGGTACTCTTAACATGCAACAACACTAAGTATCCACTGAGGGTCAAATCTACAACCGATAAGAACGGCTTCTTCTTCATCATGCCACCTAAGACGTTGACCACTTTTGGGGTGCACAAGTGTAAGGTCACTTTGCTATCGTCGCCGAAGGCTACATGTAACAAGCCCACTAACTTGCACTATGGGATTAAGGGTGCCACTCTAGTCCCTACCCCAAAGCCAAAGATCGTACTTACGCCAGTGTTACCCTTCGATGTGTTCACAGTGGGTCCATTCGCATTTGAAGCCACAAAAAAGACACGATGCCCTCTTTAGATTATAGATGACTGGTTTAGTGAAGAAGGAGAGGTTGAGGGGTTTGAATGCCTATTATGATTAGTTTAAGATGCTAAGTGTTATTTAGAATTGTCTGTTTTCCTGATGTGATGCTTAGTTGTTTGAGTTGTAGTTTGATGAAAAGATGAAGGATTTTGCTATGTAGTATTTGGTTAATAAATTTGAATGAATATGCTTCTTTCAATAATGGGTAGTTGGATTAAGAAAATTGTGGTTTATTTTAATCATCGTGTTTATAGTTTTGCTATAAATGACAATTTTTTTTTTATTTTCGAATGACCAAGGTATAGTAAACTAGCAAATAATTAAAAAAAAAATGAAACAAAAAAATATAAAAAGTATATAGACAAGTTCGGGTTTTGTAACTACAGGATTCAAATTCAATTGATTTCAAGTTTAGACCCCTACTAAAAATTCAAGAAAATGGCGGAGCACAAAACATCATTAAATAGCCAATCTTACAGTTTTTGTAACCCTAAATGTACATAGTTAAAATCAACTTATTAGAGGAATGTTTTAAAAACCGGCATGACTACCGGTTTTTTGTTCAAATGGTTCGACTGTCGGGCCAATCGTTTCTATAATTTTCATCATTTTCTTGTTTTTTTTCATACATACATATATAAATAAAGAATTTCACATCCACAAATTCAAACATTAAAAATCTACATAAAACAAATTGTAAATCAATCAAAAAACATTAATATAATACATAACCATAAGTTTTATATCAATTCATATACATCAAAAGGAAAAAAAAAAATAAAAGAGATGTAAATCATGTGTTGTAGAAATTGGCTTTGGCGGCCGATTAATAAAGGATTAATCATTTGTCGATACAAAGATACATTACACTAACAAATTAAAAGAGATGTAAATCATTAGTGGAAATGAATGTAAGGTCTGTTTATGCTTATGTTTCTGTATTGACGATGACATCCTAATGTTTTAATATAAGCAAAATATATTTCTTCGCAAATGCTTTGATAATATCTCTATCATGTTTTCTAGGAACAATTCCACAATATTATTCTTTAAAACAGATACTTTGATTTTTAAATAAGCATAAAGTAATTTTTTAAAATGACTGTGATTTTAGGGATATCACAACTTGTTTTAATGCAAATAAAATTTTCTTACTTTGAAATGCATCCAAAATAACATTTAAATCTTCGATTGGTGAAAATATTTGACGAACAAACATTTTTCGTTATACATATGTAATGATTTGATATATATGATTTACAAAGATATACGTATTAAGTATTATTAAGAATATATGACATACTAATAAGAGGGTACATGAAATTACGAAAATGTGGATATGAAGAACGTCGAAAACGGAGTTCATATGTAAAATTTATTACAATCCGAAGAAAAGAGACAGTTAAGAGACAGTCTGCAACCTATGATCATAATAACGAAACTTCAAACCTTTCGTTAAGTGCCTTAAACTATGAAATTAGAATTTCTAACAATTTCTCTTAATTTCCGTTCAATCTGGTATTTGATTGTAAAAGTAACTCATTTTGCCCAAACCGCCCGACACTATTGTGGATAATATCAAGGCAGAGCAATTTTGGCTTTCCCATTAACTAATCATCAAACGATTTCTTAGGTTAGCTACAAGGCTCATCACCAAAACATATTAACATTTTAAGAATCAAGAAAAGGTCTAGCATTTGATTTAATTGCTAACTTTTCCGTTTCATGAAAAACTGACACTTTTGCGAATATAGTCGAATCGCAACAAAAGAGAATTTATCGTTAACGTACTTCTAGATGGCTCGTTCACCTAGTTGTGTGACTGGTTAGGTGAATCTTTTTTATGTTTTATGGAGGGTAAAATCGAGTAGTATAAATCTATAACTTGAAATTTTTCGTGAGAAGTCGAATTGGGGCACCGAAGACAAGCAGCACAAGAACATGTCACACAGTAGGTTCTCGTTTATACATGTCACCCAAGAAATTGGACTATAAATAGCAGCTAATTAGCTCCTCTATCCCTCATATCACCCCTCTCTAGAAACCTCCCCCTTTCTCTTTGTTTTTCCTTTCGACGCACCATCGGTAACCATTGTCGCCGCCGCCACCTTCAATCATCGAGCCACCACCGATCGAGCCCCGACCTCTGAACGATGTCTGACAGCCTCCCGACCATCGACAGGAACTCCGACGACCCTCTTTTCTAATGATGATCAAGCCAACAGCCCTATTCCAGCGACTTTCTGGTGATCGGATAACATTTCTAGCGAAGTTTTTCAAGAAATAAATCCCCCCCTTTATTCTGATCATTTTACGACCTTTTTTCCAGAGAAGCTTTGCCCGATTGATTTTTGACATGATCAGATGCTTTAAATAAAAACACGATATTTAATAGCACGCTTCGAAAATGAGTTCATGGCCCCCATTTTAAAACATTTTACTTTAGGGAAGAATGCATGCTTAAACTTATATTTATCGTTTATATAAACAAAAAATGCGATCTAACTATCATTAAACTGTCGTGTATATAAATTGATAAACTACACTGTCATTACTCTATTTACATAACTTGGATATTAGTTATTCACTATCGTTATTCTATTCACATAACTTGGATTATAGTTATGCATTGTTGTTACTATGCCTACATAACTTATGTAGTAGTTATGCATTGTTAAAACTTTTGTTATAAAGTAGTTATACACCATTAATCTTTGGCCTAGTAACTTGACATTTTAAGTTAAGACTATAATCTTTTAGAAATACTCACTTAATGGTTTACATGAGACATTTCTGATGGGTTTTGGTCCTAAGAACATCCTATGTGCTCATACAAACCCTAAAGCTGAGATCTAGGTTTCTCTATTGTACATGCAAGTTATCCAAGACTATAAACCCTAATTCTAGCATTCAAATAATCATATTATCCATAAGAATAAGTTTATAATGTTACCTTGATTGTTATGTAGCAATAACAATCCCAAATCTCCTTGAATTGGCTTTGGAAGGCTTAGAGTCACAAGTGTCACTCCTCTAATGGCTTACAAACACAAAGAGCAAATAGAGAAGATATGAGGAGAGAGGGGAGGTATTGAATTCGTCCCTAAGAATCTTTGGGAAGGTCTTACACGAATTCATGAGCCTAGGGGGTTTATATAGGTGTACAGATAGGGTTTCAGTCATTATCCTTATCTAGTTGCTTGCTTACCAAGCAACCCATAAGATAATCCTTGAATCCTTATCATAGTCGAATTCTAAGGCATTATCACCTTAAATTCGTCCATCCTATACTTAGGATAATCCTTACCTTATTTTGTAACTATCACATAATTACAATTCAGCCCCTCTAGTTTAATTAATTACACTTGATCACAAAATTAATTCCTAATTAATTATTGACCAATATTAATTAAACAAATATGATTTCTCCTTTAATATATTATTTTTATATTAATAAATCATAATAATCTTTCTCTCTATTTTATTTCTCCAATCAAGTTGCTTTGGTGAAGGCAACCCAAAAGGACCATGCACCATCGGGTCAAGTACATACCAAAATAGTTATGGACTTAGACACTAATCCAACAGTCTCCCACTTGGATAAGTCTAATAACTATTCTGCGTATGACTTCAGATCCTGATCTGCAATCGTAGCTTTCCAAAGCCGCTGTCAACTCTGATCCTATCAGATACGCGTGTCCTTAGATATCGTATGAGATATGATTTCTAATCATCCTCTTTGTACTATTTCTCGATTCCCGATTTATGACGACTGACTAATTGAACAAATCAAATTAGCCCTAGCCCGGCCGAGCATTTACGTTTGTCATCACTAAACATCGAGGGGCCCAAAGATATCGCTTTTATCCTTCTTTGGATAAAAGGAACGGATAAACTTTGATACAATGCTTGCTTGCACTCACTCACCGAATCACACACAACAATATGTTTTATAACACCAAGTTACTAGTGCGTTTTCATATTATCAATGTGCAACCGATTAGCAAGATACAACTCACACATCTCGGTTTCAAGAATATAAGATGTTATCGTCTCACCAATCACTCGTGATACAATTCATGGAGTGATCCAAGTGAGCGTGGGTTTAATCCAATGCTCAAATTCATATTCATAAGCACTCATGAACGTTGCAGCAAACATTTGCTTATGTCTAATACTCTTTTAGACAATCCACACACCAATTCACGACAGTCTTCATTCATATCTACTTCCAACATATGAACGACTGTGGCCCGTTCGAATAATTTGATTATTCTTAATAAACTCAATTATTCTGGAAGTCAAAACATGCAAAGTGAAACACAAGAATAATACTAATCCCATATGGCCTCAAACCTTTGAGTATAAATAAAACTCCTTTTATTTATCACCATATCGATTACTCATTATTTGTCGTTTCGGGTAATCAACTTCTTACTTGAATTATTACACTTGTCCCATGCTCCTAGCATGCACACAATGTTTACCTATGGTTCTTACTTTGTGAAATAGATCAATTGAACACATTTCCAATCATTCTCATTTCACAACTCCAAATCCTTTTTCATAAGTGAAAGAATATCAAATTCTTGCTACTTATAGAATATGCTAGATTCTAACATTCTATGCAATGATTCTTTCGTAATGTCACTGCACCAAAGTCACAAAGACTATTGCCAATGATATTACAAAGTCCTCTATCGGAGATTGTTACAAGACAATTCCTTAGATATGATGTCTCTCACTCAAAGTACATTCCTTTGAACATCCTTTTGCATAAAAGTTTCTAATCTAGACATAGATTTTCAATATTCAATTCCCAATATGGACACGCTTCCATATTTTCCATATGACAACTTATTCTTAATAGAATCTTATCTATTCATAATAATGTCGATATGGTCCATTCAATACCATGCTTCCAACTACTCACAAGCAACCAATCCTCGTCGAACTTTGGATTGTCCTTTGATAGTTGTTTAATTATTTTAGTCAAAACCGATTCTAGTCCCTTTTCCTCTAAATGCGCTAGACATTTGGAAAATTTTAGAATGGTCAAATATTAAAGCATTTGCAATCGATCCTATACCCGAAGCGTATGGGACACGACATAATGTTTTATTTGCTATGTTCTCAAAATTCGAATTGTGAAGAGGAATGTATAATCATAATCGAAATTTTAAGAACACACTATGTACCTTTGACTAAA